TTAAATATGATAAAATATTCAGTATTTGTTTTTCTGTGATTGCCTCATTTCCCTTAACATATTATACTGTTCTATCCATTTTGGTGCAACTGGAAGGGTTTCATTTGGTCTGATCACATTCCATTGTGCATGTATGTGTGTGGGGGTATCATGTCTTCTTTTTGTTTTGTTTTGTTTTTCCTTTTTCTGTATCTTCTTTGTTCAGTCACATGATCCTTAAACTTAAAATTCAAGTGAAAAATAAATAGTAACTTAGTTTTTCATTATTTCCTTTCTTTAGTTATAGAAGTATTTAAGTGCTAGGACAATGTATAATAAGATACGTCATTTCACAATCCTATATCCATTGGACTATATAATGAATATTAGGGCAAGGATCATCATTAAAAATCATATCTTACCTGAATGAAATGTAGATGCCAGACTACTTTGATTTTTTAAAACTAAAACACACCCGGGGGATAAGCTCAGTTGGTAGAATGCTTGTCTAGCATTCACGAAGGGCTGGATTCAATCCCCAGCACTGAATCAGCTAAGTACAGTGACACTCCTGTAATCCCAGCATCTGGGAAGATGAAGGTAGGAGGATTAGAAATTCAAGGTCATCTTCAGCAACACAACAAGTTCAAGAACAGCCTAGGCTACATCAAACCCTGTCTGGGGGGGGGGAGGGGATAAAAGAAAACTATGTACAAGCAGTGTTCCCAATGAAGTTATTTATTTAAGTAGAATCTTTAGGCTCACCATAGTTGGCCTTGCTAAAGGCACTTCACTTTGAATCTATTGGGTTTTGTACAGGGCATTCTCTGTATTAGTTTGTTGTGATTCTAATGTAATTACACAGACAATTTATTGATATAGATTCCATACTTCTTTCCCACCTTAATACATGCAGATTTGGATTTGGAGGCTATTGGATCCAGGTGTGGTGGTCCATGCCTTTAATCCCAGCACTTGGGAGGCAGAGGCTGGTGGATTTCTGTCAGTTTGAGGCCAGCCTGGTCTACAGAGCAAGTTCCAGGACAGCCAGAGCTATTACACAGAGAAACCTTGTTTCAAAAAAACCAAAACAGCAAAAATCAGTTGGAAATGTGAAAAAATAAAAGTGAGGACAAAAGTGCTGTAATGAAAATCAAACACATGCTGGGCATGATGGCACTACCTTTCACCTCAGCACTTGGGAGGCAGAGTCAGAAGGATCTTTGTGACTTCCAGCCCAGCTGGAACTACATAGTGAGACCCTGTCTCAAAACAGAAGCAAAAAGCCAATAACTCTATTTTCAAGAATCAATAGTATATTGAGGCCCAATGTTTAAGATGACCCATTTAAACCCTTCACATCTCATGTTCCTTTTGCATTTCTATAACAAGCATAGTTTCCCATGCCAAGGCTAAATTTAAGCATGTAAGTCAATATTACATGGCTACATTATACCAGTACTCTAAGTCAAATGTAAGGAATATCAATTTATAAATATTTCAAATATTCTACCTCCTGAGGGAAACCATTCTTTTAAATTCCTTTGGCAGGCAGAAAGCACTAGGTATCTAATATTGAATTCTATACCATCTTCACTTTAATGTTCTGATCATGTTACAAAGTGTGACTTAGACAAAGACTACCTATTTTTTATTACCCAACTTTCACAACAATTGAATCCACAGACTTATTGCTATGGCCACTTGTTTGCACTGTACACTGAAATTTAATATGTTTTTCTGTAGCCTTCACTTCCAGTACAGCAAGTCCACAATGAGGCCATAAACCAGAAGTAAGAGCTAAGGAAACAGGAATATAATCATTTATACACATGATTAAAATAACTAGTAACTATGAGAATACTAACACAGCTTCTTGCCTAGTTTTACTTAGGGAGCATGGATTTTCTTATTCAATCTCATTTTCATTGTAGCTAAGTGTCACACAATAAACTATTATATAAAAAATGAAATTCCTCAAATTTTATCCTGAAAGTTATGCTTAATAGTTTATAGCTATCTATTGTTTCACATTCCCTACAGATTGTACTGTGTGCACTGTGTGACACACAATAAAATAAATCATGACCTCCCAGGCACCTTTCATATTTATAATCTTCTGTGACAATAGCATTTTTCTAGCATTTTAGAATAAAAAGGATTGTAGCAAAATGAAAACAAAGATCTAGCAAAACTATTTGAGAGTGTGTGCTTTGTATCTAGGAAGAGAGAGGAAGGTCAATATAGCTTTGCACACAAATGTCCATATAAAAATTAAAGGGTGCCAAAACATCACTTTCTTGATGGCAGGCCTCTAGTCATGTCTGTATATTTACTTTTTGCTTTCAGTGCTGAATACAATGACAACCACACATTAAGATTTAATATTTGTTCAAGTAGGGGGAAGAGGTATGTAACAGAAAATGATACTTCTCCTTCATTACAAATTCTCCCTTGAGTTCTAGTTGGACACATTTCCCAACCTTTGTTATTAAACATGCTATGCAACTAATTCTGTCCAATCGAAATCAAGCAAAGGTGATGAGTACACCTTTCTAATCCTGTCCTTGAAAGGCCTGGATATGCCTTCTTCTTCCCTTTATCACTGTCTACAAATGGCCATGGGATGAACCACTTACACTAACTTGACAAAGACATATTACTTAAGATGAAACCTCTAGGAGGAGCCTGGGTCCCTGATAACTTTGTGAAGGAGAGTCATTAGACTAATAGTATGAGGAAGAGGAGGAGAAGGGTTAAGATAGGGTCTTACTGTGTAGTATAGGCTGGCCAGGAACTCCTTATACACAGCAGGCTGGCCTCAGAGATTTGCCTGCCTCTGTCTCCCAAGCGCTGGAATTAAAGGTAAATACCACCAAGCCAGTGCTGACAGGATGTTGAGTGAAAAATTTCTGTGTGTTTAAGCCCACTGTGATTTTGGATCTCCATCTCAGCAACGAAATTTACATTCCAACAAAGGCAAATGTCAGAAAAGGCAAAGATTTTTTTTTTTTTACTTTACCAGGTAGATAAAAGGAGAGACTTTTCAGGGCAAAGAAGTCTTTGCCCTGATGGGCAAAGATGGGAATGCCAGTCTGTGAATCCAGCACTGGGGAGGCTGAGGCAGAAGAATCAGGATCTGGGAAGCAACAGTGTGCGTGACACACCACACCACACCACACCACACCACACCACACCACACCACACCACACCACACCACACCACACCACACCACACCACACCACACCACACCACACCACACCACACCACACCACACCACACCACACCACACCACAACACACACACACACACACAGAGAGAGAGAGAGAGAGAGAGAGAGAGAGAGAGAGAGAGAGAGAGAGAGAGAGAGAAGCTTAAAGATGCCAAGCCTTTTTCAAAGGTTTGGAATTTACCATGTACTGCCTGGCAGGTGCGAAACAGGATGGAAGATTCAAATATCCTATCACTACCAGCATGCCAAGCAAGAGGGACCATCAAACTAGCTTACAGAAAGGAGCAGAAAGTCCCCTTCTGTAAGCTAGATTGATGAAGTAACTACACTAGAGTCTTCCATACCATGGCATTTGGGCTAATTGCACTGGGATTACAAGCGTTACAGGCCCCCAAATGCAAAATCTCCAGTCCCATGCCTAGACAGAATCCTTGATCCAGAGATCCCCATTTTAACGAGGACCTCAGGTGCCTGAGAATTAAACTATGGAACTACACCAGAGATACTTTAAAGTATCTCTAAGAATTTATGACGGAGACAAGCCAGAGTATTCAGGGACCCTGGCATGAGCTTCCAAGAGGGACTGAACTGTGTCACCGACTGGTGAGAGTCGCTTCTGCCAGATCCCTCAGGGGAAGCCTGGAGCGCAGCACCCGCCCCTCTGGGTTGCCATGGAGATCTGGGCACTGCTGCCGGCTAACGCCTCTGGGAACCGTGGCCAGGGCCCAGTGGGAACCCGGCTCCTTGCTCTCTGCTGCCGAACCCCTAAGGCGACCTCGACAGCTCAGGTGCGGCCTCGCGGGGACCCAGAGCACGCCCTAGAAAAGCGGTCCCTTTTCAGGGACCCTAAGCAAGGACGCGGCCCGGAGGAGTGTCCCCTCAGAGACCCCTAAGAGCGGAGGGTGTGACCCGAGGCGTGTCACCTTAGAGACCCCAAGAGGAAAGGGTGTCACAGCGAGGATTGTCCCCTCAGGGATCCTTGAGAGCGGACAGGGACCCCGAGAGTGGAAGGTGTGACCCAGAGGAGTGTCCCCTCAGGGACCCCGAGAGCAGAGGGTGTGACCCCGAGGAGAGTCCCCTCAGGGATCCTCGAGAGTGGAGGGCGCGGCCGGAGGGGACACCCCGAGGAGTGTCCCCCTGAGAGACCAGGAGTGCGAGGACAGCCCGAGGAGCAGCGGCTCCCTCGAGCTGGCAAGCGGGCGGGCGAGCTAGCCAGTGAGCGTCCTCCCTGCCCGAACCCGGCGGGTGGTGTGACTGCACTAGAAACAAACCGCCCTCCGCGGGCCGCCGCCTCCCGGGGCTCCCGAGGGCCTGTGACCGCCTGCAGCGCCCGAAGTGCAGCGGCTGCCAGCCCCGGGAAACATCCTACCCCAAAACAAGGGCGGTTTCGCGGAGGAGGTGACAGGGCGCTCAATCCCCTGGATACGGATGATGCGATGATGCGAGGCCAGGGCGACCCTAGGACGTTTGTGGGGGTCTGTCCCCAGTGGGGTGTGGCAGAATTCGCTCTTCTTGGAGCCAGTTCTCCGGCCAACCCTCTCATCCTCGAGTGCAAATTTTCCTTGCAGTTGGAAGTATGGGGTGTTCGAGTGGGCTAGTACATGCCACACCTCGTCTCTAAGGTCACAAGAAGGGGGACTGCCAAGAGAGGTGTTGCAGAAACAGTCGTTTACTAAGAGACAACCTTTTCTTTTCGCAGAGACGATGCTTAACACTACATGGGCAGCAGTCTCCTGAACCACCTGAGCTGTACTTACTTGAACCTTGAGTTATGACATCAGAGGCAAACATGCTGGACCCCAAAAGTGAACTGGAGTTTTTTAACGAAGAAAATATGGAGGAGATCTCCCAACTCGCTTCCCTGGAGATGTCAGGGGATGCAGCAGCCAGGAGAAAATCTGCAGCTGTTGTCCCAGGAAAATCTGGCTATCCAGACTGCGTGTATGTTATGGCAGCGAACATTTTTCAGGGTATACGAATCGAAAAGCCACCAGACAAAGCCATAATAAAGTACGGGAATGAACCCCTGCCGTCCTGTTACCAATCGGAGGATGAATCTTTCCAGCGCTTGTCCTATGAGCTGGCTTTCAGTGCCCTGAAGTGTGAGTACTACCAGTCTTGAAGGTCAGCGCTAAAAGAAAATAGCAAAGCCACGCATGGTGGCTTATGCTCAGTTCAAGGCCGGTCTGGGCCACAGGGTGAGAGTCTGTTTCAGAAAACCAAAGAAAAAGGGAAGGGTGGTGGGGGAGAAAGCAAGGAACTTTCTAGAATGCAGAATGCAGCCTAGCCCCTCAAACATACTGAATTTTGTTTTTACACTTGTATATGTTTGGCCGATTAGAACAGTCTAAAAATGAGGGACTCCTAGTGAACTAGTAGAGTGTTTTTGCTCTTGTCCTTAGAGAGGTGTAGTGCAGTCATTAAAATAAACAGGAGACAGCATGGTTGTACATGCCTGTAATTCCAGCTGCTGAGCCCAGAGGATTTGGAGTTCCAAGCTAGGATGGGCTAGATAGCTAGACCCTTCTCAAAAGGAAAAAGAAAAGAACAACAAAGATCAAATACTCTCTCTCTCTCTCTCTCTCTCTCTCTTTCTCCCTCCCTCTTTCTCTCCCCCCTCTCTCTTTCTCAGACAGAGTTTCACCATGTAGCTCTGGCTGTCCTAGAACTCACTCTGTAGATCAGGCTGGCCTCGAGCTCACAGAGATCCACCTGCCTCTGCCTCTTGAGTGCTGGGATTAAAAGTGTACAACACGCCCACTGCTTCACTACATTCTTGTTGTATTTACATCTTGTATTTTAAGTTCATGAGGCATCACAAATATAAGGGAGAAAATAGTCTTCAAAAAGTGAATACTACAATTATGTCAACCTCAATCAAGATCATCTGACTCTTAGCCGATAGCTTTAATCTGGAATGCCAAATTTAAGTAGAAATTTCCTTTCTAATTTGCCTCCAAAGTGCTAGACTCCAGTTTCCAGAACCCCTTCATGGTAGTTAACAACTTCAGAGTGTGAGGTTAACTGTAGGTGGGACACAACCAGACACTGCTTCTAGGAGGAGAGCTGTCAAATGATATGGAGATTTCTTTTGTAGATTTCTTTTTATTTTATGCATATGGGTGTTTTGCCTAATTGAGTGGCACCACATGTGTGCAGTACTGGAGGAGGCCAAAAGAGAGTGTCAGATCCCCTGGAACTGGACTTAGAGATGATTGTTAGGTGGGTACTAGTAATGAGCCTAGATCGTTTGGAAGAGCAATAAGTGCTCTTAACAGCTGAGCCATTCCTTTGGCCCCTGGTGTTGTGTTTTATACTAATTGCTACTATAAACTTTATACTGGCTTGTAAAACTAAATTTAGGTCCAGAGAGACGGTTCAGAAATGTTTGGAACATCAATAGCATGGCTCAGATGATGAGTAGATAACCAAGAAGTCACTTGGAAAAGGCTAATAGCATTTTTAATGATTTCTTTAGTACTAGAAGGCCTTGCAAAGAAGAGGAAGTAAAGAAAAAGTTATGTAAATTAAAAAGCCTCTATTGATTAATTAGACATCAATATATCTTGTCTGCAAATATGATGCAGTACAACTCTGAAGCCCAGAATTTGTCATCACAGAGAAATGTATGAACAACAAATAAATGTTTTAAGAAGGCTTAAGAGAAACTCCTGAACTTGCTAATCATTTTCCCCAACTTCTCTAAGTGTATATAGTAGTTGATGAATTTCACTGCCATAAATAGACCATGGCATTAACCTGGCCATTTTTGAGTTTTATAACCTGCCAGTGAATAACCCAATAAATGCTTAACATACGGTTCAGTTCTAGCTTATGTGAATTAGTAATTATAGTTAAGGGTTTTCAAGACCACTCTTCAATCATTCCCTAAAAGGGTTTGTAGAACCCAGCAAATATTTTATATGCATGGTTTAGTACAACAAAAGGATACATATGAAATTAGCAAGCAGTATGCATAGATCAGAGTCCAGATAAGAGGGGCACATTGTCCTTTCCCAAGGAAATTTTTTTTTTTTTGAGACAGGGTTTCTCTGTGTAGCTTTGTAGTTCAGGCTGGCCTTGAACTCACAGAGATCCACCTGCCTCTGCCTCTCAAGTGCTGGGATTAAAGGCATGTGCCACCACTGCCTGGCTTCCAAGGAAATCTTAAAACGGCACTTGATATTTGACAGTGGGAAGGGACCATTGCTAATGAGGGGAGCCCACCTTGGTCTTGCTGTGTAGAGTTTTTATTGAGATTTGTTCTTAAAAGTGTGCATTCTTAAATGTGTTATTGACTGACTAATTACTCAAACTCTTAACTTCTGTAAAGGTCAAGATACTATGGCTATGTGTGGCTCAAGGTCCAAAGTGAACAAAGATAGTTTGGACCAGCCAAGTGACTTCAAGGGTTTAAAGGCAACCTCCCAGGAGCCAGTCAAGGGCCCTTCATAATGTGCAGTTTGTCTTCTAAAGCCCGCTGAGTCATTTGCTGATTGCATTGTGATTCGTTAGGAAAATGAACTACAACTCCAACAACCTCTTACGCTTCAGCTATATCACCCAAGAGTCAAGGCACAGTAATAATTTTTACCTGTTTAGCTCTTTTTTTTCTTCACAAAGTATCTAATTTCATTTGATATAAATGGGAAAAATGTTCTCATTTACAAATGAAAAAAATGGAGGAAGCTCAAGGAGAAATTGAGCAGCAATGGGAATAAAAAGAGAAACATCTCATCTGGATGGAAGAGAAACAAACACCTCTCCATAATCTAGTTCTCCATGGTCCCACTTTGTTTTATTTTGACTGAATAATTATTTTGTATTTGTTAGTGGGTGTTCTAATTTTGCTCAAAAGACTAAAATAATTTTGTCAAGTTTTCTTCCTCTGCCCAAAATGTAGAATACATTGAATAAAGTATAGCTATTATTTAACCTGATATTTCAAAATAAGAATGTCATATAACTTTAGGCATATGAAGCTAATGCCTACTGCACAACACCAAAGGCAGTCAAAGGGGACAGTTTTGGCAAGAATCCTAGAAAAGAAGTGTGAGACCAGCAAAATCACGTTCTGTTTTCCTCCATCCTACCCCTGTGATTCATAGAGACTTCAGTGGTCAAAGTTTTATAGCCTACACCCGTCTTTCATGTTACAAGTCCTTTATGGTTATGGAAATTATATTTTCTGTCACAAAAACTGAGATTTATACTGGGAGATTACAAAGTTGATAGGAATTAGTTTGCAAGTATTAAGGATGCAAAACTCTGAACTCTTGTTTTCTTTATAAATGAAGCGAGAGTGTTCCTTTGTATCCAAACCTGGTGCTTAAGCATGTATAATGCTTCCTAAAAGATTTCCCATGAATATTATAGTCTCCACTTCAAAATTAGTCTTCAATTTTCTCATTTCCCAAGTAAAGACTGAAACTCAGTATCTACATTATAAAGAATAGGTTTTTCATGAATGCTGAAGGAATCAAGACTAGGCCTCGCTTTCTGTTTGCCTAATCAAATACAATGTGTATAGCTTAAGTCTATCAAAACCACTCATGAATCCAGGGGAGGGTTGAAAATCTGTGAAAGAGTTTCTACTTAGCACCTCTGCACTGATTATTCTGCTCTCTGTCTGGACTGCTGTCCTTGTCAAGGTCCTTACATGGCAGTTTCTTTTATTTGGGTCCAAGGTTAAATACTTCACCTGTGTCCTCACTAGTTTACCTCACTAGAAGTTTACCAGAAACTTATGTTAAAGTGATGTCTAATAAAAGTCATGTAAAAGGATAGATGAAGATAAAACACCCTCCCATTCACAAGGCTAGCAATAACCCTGATAATTAACACTACAAAGATGTTAAAACAGAGTAACATCGCTCACAAACATAGAAAACCCAGAACAAATATTAAAAATACTTAATTACGCCAGATGGTGGTGACAACATGCCTTTGATCCCAACACTTGGGAGGCAGAGCAGGTGGAACTCTGTGAGTTTGAGGCCAGCCTGGTCTATAAAGTGAGTTCTAGGAAAGCCAGAGCTATTACACAGAGAAACCCTGTCTCAAAAAATAAAACAACAAACAAAAAAACCCAATACTTAATAACTAATACAACATATCAGCAATACTTAAAAATAAAGAACAAGGCTGTTTAACATTTTTCATGTTCATTTAATGTTCAAAATAATTTTAATTAGTTTTCATTTAAATTAAAAAGTATCTTATTTTACATACCAATCCCAGTTCCCTCTCCCTCCCGTTCTCCATTCCCCACCAAACCCCCTTCCTACCCCCTACCCACTCCTCAGGGAGGGTGAGACCTCCCATGGGGGTTCATCAAAGCCTGTCACATCATTTGGGGTAGGACCTAGGCCCTCCCCCGTGTATCTAGTCTGAGAAAGTATCCTCCATAGGGAATGGCCCATTTGTGCACTTGGGATAAATACTGGTTCCACTGCCAGAGGCACCAGAGACTGCCCAGTGCTCCTAGCTGAGACCTACATTCAGGGGGCCTGGTTAAGTCCTATGCTGGTTCTCCAGCTGTCAGACTGGGGTCATAAGCTCCCATTTGCTCAGTCAGCTGTTTCTCTGGGTTCCCCCAGCACAATCTTGACCCCTTTGCTCGTCACTCCTCCCTTTCTGCAACTGGATTCCAGGAGTTCAGCTCAGTGCTTAGCTGAGGATCTCTGCTTGGAGGAAGGCTCTATGATGGCATTCATGGTAGTCATCAGTCTCATTATAGTGGAAGACATTTAAGGTAGCCTCTCCACTATTGCTTAAATTCTTAGTTGGGGTCATCCTTTTGGATCCCTGGACATTTCCCTAGTGTCAGGTTTCTCATTAAACCCAAATGACTCCCTCTATCAAGGTATGTCTTTTCTTGCTCTCCTTCTCTGTTCTTCTCCCAACTCGACCTTCCTGATCCCTCATGTTCTCCTCCCCCTTCCCTTTCTCCCTTCCTTTTTCTCCTCCCTCCTCCTCCCAATGTTCAAAGTATTAACAATACTTAATAACTAATACAATGTATCGGCAATACTTAAAACTGAAACATGCAAGGCTGTTTAACATTTTTCAATTTTTAATGTACATGGTTGTTTTGCCTGCACACATGACTGTGCACCATGTGCAAACAGTGCCATCGGAGGTCAGAAGAGGGTACCAGATTCTCCTGCAAATGGAGTTACAGCCAGTCGTGAGCAACTTTATTGGTGCTGGGAGCCTCTGGAAGAGCAGCCAGTGCTCTCAACTGCTGAGTCATCTCATTATTAGTTATATCTTCTTTAATGTCTTTCAAGGATCATCAATTACTCATTTATTTTAAAGATTTATTTATTTAGTATGAATACAGTGTTCTGTATGCATGTATGTCTGCAGGTCAGAAGAGGGCACTAGATCTTATTACATATGGTTGTGAACCACCATGTGGTTGCTGGGAATTGACTCAGGACCTCTGGAAGACCAGCTAGTGTTCTTAACCACTAAGCTATCTCTCCAGCCCCAAGGGTCATAAATTAAAAGTTAAAATTCCTTATGACTATGTTGATAATGCTATGAGTCTCTATAAAGCTTGAATCGTAAGAGCCCAGGATTCACGAGGATTATAAATATTTCAGCTTGCTGTTGTAACTGATGTCTTTATGAGGAGTTGAGGCACATTTTAGATGTGAAAGTAATTTTATGACATTATTTAAAGTGTATTTAATTCAAAGGTCTTTATTTTAAGATTTGATATTTTGCATAATAGACTTTTCCCTTGTCTTGCAGATCAAGATATTTTAGAAACTATGTTAATAGACAGCTATATCTTCCCAAGTACCACAATAGTAAGTAAACAACTTTACAATTAGTCTGCCTCATTAATACTTTTTAGAAAGTATGAAAATTATCTCAGATCTACATAATAGTTGGCCTAGTGTTGAGACTCCTCTAAAATATATGTTCTACTGCTAACACTTGCATTTTGACCCTGGCCCTGCCATTTGGACTCATATTCCCCAAACTGCCTTTTTGGAGAAGCTTTTCTTCTCAAGCTAGATTGTTTTCCCCTTTTGAAGACCTTCTCTTAGCTGGGGTGGTGGTGGTGGCGCACACCTTTAATACCAGCACTTGGGAGTCAGAGACAGGCAGATCTCTGAGTTCGAGGCCAGCTTGGTCTACAGAGTGATTTCCAGGACTCCTTAGAGAAACCCTGTCTCAAAAAACAAAAACAAAACAACAACAACAAAAAGACCATCTTTATTCCTAAATCTAACTGTACTATGTAAAAGTGATCATGTTATTGTTCTGTTATAAAAAGTAGTGAAATACAGAATACTATCATTATCCATATTCCCCCTACCCTCAGAGGATCAAACCCAAGGCTTTGTTCAGGCTAGGCAAGCATCCTCCACCTGTGTTACATTTCAAGCCTTTGGATATTGGTTCTTTAGTTTTCTTTATGTGTGTTTCCCCTTGGTAGCCAGATCATTTGGGCAGTCTTATTATTGTGATGCTGTACGATTTCCAAGATAGAAAATTTCAGTCCCGTGTCCTTTCCGATAATGAAGAGTCTATATCAGAGGTTCAAGAAGTGGAGAGCCTTCTAAACAGGTAACTACAGGTAAAAAGGCAATTCGGACAAACCAGCATTAGCATTTTTATTTGTAAAATTTCTGTAATATAATTTATAGATACCTATGTCTCAAACATGTATGAAAAGATACCAAAAGTTTTGCAGTCTTGAATAGTTTAAATATCTACCTTTAGAGTAAATTGTTTTAAGATGTTGAATTGCATGATCCAGTATATAGACATAGGGGAAATCATTACAAATTTCTAATAATTTTAGTATATGCATAAACATATACTAAATAGCTAACTTTTGTTTCTTTAATTGACATCTTTACAAAAAATATAACAAGTGAGAAAATTCCAATACTACACAAAAATTCACTGTTCTGCCAAACTGAAAAAAGTCTGTCTAGTTAAGAACAAACAGATGTGTTTTTTTTTAAGTAGAAATAAATTTATTGGTTATGCTTGTTGATTGAATCAACCTGTTAGTTGATGGTTACTCTATCCCAGATACTGAGAGAGCAGGTTAGATACAGCTTGCTTCCCACCTAAGTAAGAATAAACAATGTGTTTTTGTTTCCTCTTTATCATCCTAAGCATCAGCTAGAGACTGCCATGTGGATAGTGGGTACTTTCTCAAAGGGTGGCTAGGAAAGATAACAGATTAATAGTGGAGTTAGAATTGGACACGTTGTTGTGGACTGTGTGTTAATGTTACTGTGTGTTATGTTTGAGTGGTGTCCCCAGAATTCAGATGTTGGATACGTAATTCTCACAAGGCAGCATTGGAGGTGGCAAGTGTGTGTGTGTGTGTGTGTGTGTGTGTGTGTGTGTGTGTGTGTGTGTGTGTGTACAGGTATATACACATGGAGGTTAGAGGTCAATTTCATATGGCTTCCTCAGTCACTCCCTTCCTTATTTTAGGCACAAGATCTCTCACTAAACCTGGAGCTCACTGATTCTGTCCAAGTAGCTGGGCCAGCAAGCCCCGGCTATTCTCCTGGCTGTGCTTACTGAGCAATAGATTACAGGCATGGGGTGCTACACCTGGCTTTTTTATATGGGGGCTGGAGGGTTAAACTTAGGTCCTCACGTTTGTACAATATGCAATTTCCATACTCAGCCATCTTCCCATCCCCATTATTTTTCCTTGGAAATGGGGTCTCATGTACCCCAGAATGGCTTGGAACCCCTTATGTAGCTGAGAATGACTTTGATCATTTCATCCCCTTGTCACCATCTCCTAAGTGCTGGGGTTATAGGCTTGTACAGAAACACACAGACACACACATGCACGCATGCACACACACACACACACACACACACACACACACACACACACACACACATACACACACAGGCGCATACATTAATGGCTATCATAACTTAGTCTGGGACTGACTAGTGGGAGCTCAGGTTAGCTGAGTTACCCAGAAAAGCCACAGCACTCCAAGAAAGACCAGTATATGGTTTCATATCGACAGATTAGGTGACACTGCTAGCAAGGGCCTGGTTTATGAGGTCAGAGAAATCAGAAGGTTTTACTGCTTAATGAAGGATTTCTGATCCCTAGATGTTTTTGTTTCCTTATAATATACAGCGCCCTCCTCTGGACTGTGACACAGGTGTGGTTACATTGCTACCTATATAACCTCCACTCCCACCCCAGGTTTATATGAAGCAAGGTCTGGTGGTACATGACTGTAATTTTGGGAGATTGAGATAGAAGGGTTGTGTGAGCCAGGCTAGCATGAGCTACATAGTGAGATCCTATTTTAAAACCATCATTAAATACAAACATTATCCAAAATTAATCAGTCACATTATACTCATATTTATCATTATACCAACTCCCAATAGTCTATTTAAGAAATACCTGTATTTAGTAATTGAATTGCAGAAAACAACAGAGCAGTACATGGAAAATGCATGTATAAAGATAAAGGTATATGGGGACTGAAGAGATGGTCCAATGATTAAGAGCACATACTGCTCTTACAGAGGACCTGAGTTTGGTTCTTAGTACCCACTTGGATGGCTTACTACTTGTAACTTCAGCTCCAAGAGATTTGATGTTATCTTCTGGTCTCTGCCAGCACTCTCAAACACACATACAAATAATTAAAAGTTTTAAAATAAAATCTTAAGATACACTTAACAGTAATTTTTGAAGTGCTATGTTACTGAAGTTGGTTTCAAACTCAAGTGATCCTCCTACCTCAATCACCAAGTGCTATCCTATGGTGATATATTATTTATGATTTATTAAAGCTTACCGGGGGCTGGAGAGATGGCTCAGAGGCTAAGAGCACTGACTGCTCTTCCAGAGGTCCTGAGTTCAATTCCCAGCAACCACATGGTGGCTCACAACCATCTGTTATGAGATCTGGTGCCCTCTTCTGGTGTGCAGATATACACGGAAGCAGAATGTTGTATACATAATAAATAAATAAATCTTTAAAAAAAAAAGCTTACCTGATGATTCAGAAAGCAAAGTCAGTCACAAGCCATAGAAGCCAAGCACACACCTTCAATCCCAGCAGCCAGAAGTTAGGAGGTAGTGGTACACACCTTTAATCCTAGGACTCAGGATTAAGAGCTAGGTGGATCTCTCTGAGTTCAAGGCCACCCAGGGATATATGAGATTGAATCAGTCTAAAAGAGTAACAGATCACATGCCTTTAATACTTGAGGGGTATAAAAGATAGAAGCAGGATCTTCAGGAAAGTATGAGGCCTTTGTTCTCCAGGCACACTGAGGAGAGGCAGCAGTTTGAGATTTGAAGAGCTCATGGATCAGCCCTTTTAGCCTGAGCTAGAGGTGAAAGCTAGTGGTCAGCTGCTCGTCTTCTCTGATCTTCAACTTGAACCCCAATATTTGTCTCTGGGTCTTTTATTACTTTGTGTTGTACCACCATGCCCAGCAAAGCCAAAGTATTTTAATTAAAGGTCTTAATTCTCAAGAAGCTGTCCTCAGTTAGCTGGAGCAAGAATGGAAACTGTTCCAGTAGAAAGAGTTCTCGCCTGGGAAGAAATGGAATAGGAATTGGAAAGGTGGAAGGAGGCTGGCTTCTTTAGCTCCTGTACCCATTATACCACTTCTCTCTCACTTTCTGTCTTACACTCTCCTTGAAGTACTGTCTACTACCCCAACTTCTCTAGCCCATGTTGGGAAAGCCCAAAGGTTTACGGTATAGTCTTCTGTCTAGTTTCTTTTTCTTAGACTAACTTATTAGGTCTTCAGGCTAATTCTAAATTCCTGTCAGAGGACTTTCAAACTGTTCAGGCTCAACTAAGACCGGTCTGAACTCACCTGTCCTTCCCTGCTATAGTCGGTGATAATTAAAGCCTATCAAACCCCGTGACTCCAATTCTAAAACACATGTGACTCTGCTCACTCATTCCCATTTTTACTACTGCCATCCAAATCCATACACTATGAACAGACTCTTCATTGGATTCCCTGTGTATAATTCTTACTTTATCATGATCTGTTCCATAGGGCAAGGAGAGTGAAGTTTGTTTGTTTATCTTTGAGACAAGGTCTCACTTAGCCCTGGCCAGCCTTAGACTTGCTGTGTAGCTGAGTCTGGCCGTGAACTCATGACTGCTTTGCCTCCTCCTCTCTGATGTTGAGATTTCAGATGTGCATCACCCTGTCCAGATAAAGTGATATATTTTAAGATGTAATTATGTGGTCAAAATAGAATGTCATGGATCAAACTTAGAAAATGTGTAAAATAAATGAGGTAAAAGTCCAAGCTGTTATACAAGAAATAGCATAAAAATTTGATCCTGAGAGACCAAAAGCAAGCAAGTCTTGGCTTCATGTTAGAGGGACTTTCCAAATTATAGTATAGGAAGTGCAAAATAACACTCTTGCTGAATCCAGAGAGTAGAGGTCAGTTTTAAATGGCTGCAGTGACAGTTTTCTTTATTTTAAGTGGCAATGTGCATTAGATGATTTGTGAATATTAAGCTAAATATGCAAGTAACTCACATTTGCTCAGATATGTTCTTTTTCTTATTTCTCCCAACTTTCTCATTGCCCATTGTACCCCAGAGTGTGTCATTTGCCAAAATGTCCCTTTTACAAGTCTTAAAGACGAGTTTTTCCTCTCATGTTTTTTATGGCTTTTCTTTGGAACATCTTTGACCATTTAACCTTTCTAGAGAATAATCTGAAACAGATTATCTGTATAGGATCCAGTCTTATGTTTTCAAGCAGAAGATTATCTCCAGGCATCAAGAAAATGGTCAGCTGGGAACTGGGGACCGTGGTGGCTTAGAAGCCACATTGGAGTAGTAGGTGGCTAATCACAAGGTAACTAAGGGAATGGAGTTTTGTCAGACTGACAGCTGCTTCTCTTGTCTCTATGATCTACTTGCTATCTCTCCCAGTGAACTTCCTGCATATCACATCAGTAAATGCTACTACAACCACTGCGGTTGCTGCCATTGACACCAGTAGGCCAGCCTTAGGGACCTTTCCCAGGAAATCTACAGAAGCTGTGTCACTAGAGAGCTTATAGAAGGGGCCTTCATTGACTAGTTCCCCAGGAATGCCCTCAGCACCCCAACAGGGAACCCAAGACCTCTGGAACAGTGCTCCCACCACCACATTCCAGCCTGCCTGACTGACTTGCAGCAATGACAGCTGAGTAGAGATCATCTCAGCTCTAACCGGCTGCTGGAAGTGTCTGTGAATTCCATGAGTGAATTTAACACAAGCATGGTTCTGGGAATACCCAAGGGCAAACGTGTAGGAGAGAATCAATATAGAGCCTAGTCCAAAGGTTAGAACAATATGGAAGAACTCCCAATGTCATGACAAAAATCTAATACTAATCAAGCAATTCAGTATCAATATTCTGTATATTTACCTAGTTCTGGTTCTCCATTACAGCTGTTCTTTATCTGTGTAATAGCCATGGCCCATGTAATAGGCCAGCTTCCCACCCCCATCCCCACACACTGTTCATGTCTTAGGTAATTTCTCTCCTTTTCTCCTTTCCCCACACAATTTCCTAGGATTTAGGATTAAGCGCTAGATGGATCTCTCTGAGTTCAAGGCCACCCAGGGATACACAAGATTGAATCAGTCTAAAAGTATAACAGAACAGATCACACGCCTTTAATCCCAGCACTAGAGTGGTAGTGCTCTCCCAAAGAACATAGGCTGGCCTATTTCACAGGGTCTCTTGACTCAGCCTCCAGATAGATGAGACTGTTTTATGTTATCTGAATGCATATCTATAACCTCTTTTCAGTCTACCATTAATGAAATGAATGAACTATATATACCCCATCTCTTTTAAAACTACCATTTCCCCATTTGTGAACATTACTCTCCTCTACTTCATATCTAACAACCTAGTACTGATCACTAGTTCCACCATGTTTTCTTCTCTTTCTTTTCACTCATACTGATAATAACTTAGTACACACAGCACTGTCACATCCCTTTCCTCCCAAAGCAATTGGTGTTAGTATTTAGGCATTTTGCTGGCCTGCCTTTGGAGTTCTGACAAGATACATCCTCAGCTGCTGCCACAAAGAGCACCACCTGTGCCTATTCAATATGTTCCCTTTTAAAAGTGCCCTGCCCACCTCCCATTGCCCCCCTTTCCTGCTGTTCATGGAGGCCAGTCTCTCTCCTCCCCTTACCGAGTTTTATGATCCTTTTCCTTTAATGAAAACAAACAAACAAACAAACAAACAACAACAAAACCCTTAGCTTGAACTTTGTTGCATGGCATCTTTCTTGAGCTGCATGTATTTATTTATTTATTTATTTATTTATTTATTTATTTACAGTAGGTACAAAGGAGCAATTGCTCTGTGATCAACTATTACTGTAGTTTTATGAGGTTTACTGCTGCATAGTTGACTGCATAGTTTCAGACAATACTCAACTGTTAGGGGGGAGCTTGGGCTAGAGCCCAGTGCTCTGAACACCAATTTAACAAGGGAAGACATCATCTCAACCCTTCTACAACTAGTCTCTTTAGGAACTCTATAATACCAGGAAAAGACTAACTTGAAATAAGAATAAATTCTGTCTGTTCCTTTAACCCACATTCTAATTCCAGATGCAAGCCCTAATTTGCAAGCCCTAATGCAAAACCATAAGGAATATGAAAACCAAGACAACACACTTCCTTTAAAAATGACCTCTCAAGAAGTCATACATATCTTTTTCTGGGTATATCTTTTTCTGGTCTGAGGGTTCCTCTGCTTCACTCCACCTTCCACTCTTCCCTTTTATCTTAGTTGGAATTTAACCCCCAGGAAATGTCCCTTGACTCCCATAGCAAGGGCCTTTTATAAAACCACAGCAAGATGGATGCCTTTCTTTGTCATTGGCATTTAGGACACCTCAGTGTTAGGAGCAACTTCTTTCTGGTTCATTCTCTGGTTTCTGGAACTTAGAACCATGTCTGTAATATACAGTAAGAAAACAAGTGTATTTGCTCAGTAAATTCATCACTATTTCTCCACTTTTAAGTATCCCTCTATTTTCTACACAAAAAGTTGCAACATCCTATCTTTAATATGCACAGTTTGTTGTGACTTCCCTCTAGGTCTCTCACCACCCTCTGTGCTATTTAATGTCTCCACATCTCTGTGGCACCGTGCCTTTTGTCTATGTGTCTTTTCTCACTTTGCATCTGGAGAGCTGCTCTCTATGTCTTCTCTCCTTTTGTGATCTGGAAATTGTTGCTCCTCCTTTACTAATTAACTCAAGCTTTCCCAGAAATCCCTTTGGACTGATAGAAATATATTTATTCTTAATAATTTACTCTATTCCTTATTTATGTATGTCACAGCAATCACCATATCATCCTGGGATTGTTTCTATATCCTTTTCAGCATTAAGCTATCTCATAAGGATCAAAATCAGTTTTGGGGATAATGGAGGTAGTGGCAATGGGTTTTATTAGGTAGTGCTGGCTGGCTTGAAACTTGCCAAATAGACCAAGCTGGCTTCAAATTTGCAGCAATCCTGTTTGCTTTCCTCGTGCTGGGATTACAGGCAGAAGCCACTACAGGCCCAAATTATCTTTTAGTTTTTATAGACCCAGATCTCATCATTGTATTTAGTTAATAGTAAAAATGTGATAAACATATTAATTGTAATATTTTCTCGACTAGCCTGACACTAAGTAAATTTTCATAATTATCGTTGCAACAACCCTGTTCATTAGATACTAATTACTAAAGTAATTACTTGTAGACCTTAGAAAGGTTAAATAACTCATCTAAGGGCATGCTGGTAATAATTGGTGGAATAAAAGTTTGAACTCAGGTAATTTGACTCAGAGGTCAGGCAGGAGAGAGAGGAAAGGGAAGGAAGCAAAAGAAGGAAGGAGGAGGTGGAGAGGAAAGAGGAGAAGAGGGATGGGCAACATGCATATTACAGGCTTGCAAATATTTGTATCTATGACTGAGGACAGATTTATGGAAGGGGAAGTAGAATTGTGTCAGGAAGTGTTGGTTGATGCTAAACTACTGATATCATAGTATATCATGATAAAGCTTAAGGATTCTGTTTTATGGCTAATGCTTTACGATTTGAGCTTTAGAATTATATAATAAAGTCTAGAAAGGAATCTCTGACTGTGTGTGTAGTGGGAATTCTGGGAAAGGTAAAGGAGACAATTGGGTCTATACTTATTCCTTGAATGGTTGTCTTTTCACCATCAATGTTGTAATATTTTAGGACTATGTAACTAAACGGTAGCAAAAATAGAGCAAAAGATCAGGGCTAGTGAGTTTCTATTTTTGAATATCATGAAATTTCATTTTAGGCTTCAAAAATTTGAAATGGGATGACAAGCAAATTTGTTAAAATTCTAAATGGGATATTTTAAATGTTTCAAATGGAGAATTGATAGTCTTGTTTCAAGTTCATGGTCATCAAGAATGAGTTTTCTGTCTCTAGCTTTAAGACAAAATTGGCTGCAGCATTGGCGAGATGTCGAATCAAACATGACGCCCTTTCCATTTACCACATTCTACCAGAGACAGTTAGGAAACAGGAGCAAAGGGCCTCTACACTGCCTCTGTATGCTTGGATAAATACTGGTAAAATCAGGTATGCATTTCAGTCCAGTTCTTTATTCATATTTCAAAACCCCATTCTTTTAAGATAATGTAATAAATATTTCTTTTCTAAGGGGTGAAGTCATATTCAGGGAAATGATTAAAGTTTAACTTTGGCTCTTACCATCAATTTACTGAATTGACAAGATTATATTAATATGTGACTTTTTCTGTGTCTAATTATCTTTTAACTTTGCTAAAATTGTTTTATCACATGCAATATGTATAGTGAAATTTTTCATTGTTGCAGGAACAAAAATATTAATGTTAAACATGTTTTATGCATTCTATTTGTAATTCTGTTTATATGTACAGCCTTGAAGAAGTTTATAGTAACTTGAAGAAAAAAGGTTATAATAAAGTCAAGTCTGTGTTGCATCTGGAAGACAAAGCCTTTGCTGTGGATCAGCATTGCTATGATGTCGTAATTTTCCCAGCTCATCTCAAAAAAGATCTTGTAAACATCGATCTTTTCAAAGATTATAAACTTATTTTTCAGGTAAGTTACTATTTCCTTTCACTGTGAATTTGAATAACCCTGCTTACCCAAAGAACCCTTGCACCTGCAAATGAATTTAAGGTGCATTACTTAGTGCTCTAAGGTTTCTCCCTTCCTACACCTATATTTTTTGGTTTAGTTTTCTTGAGGCAGGATCTTGTTATATAGCCCAGACTACTCTGAATTCTTTATCTTGCTCAGGCTAACGTCAAACTCATGACAATCCTTCAGCCTCGGCCTCCCAATTGCTGGGATTATGGGTTTATGCCATTATGCCCACTCCCACACCCACGTCCTTGGGTAGACTCTTGACATTTCTGTCCAGTTTCCTTGTATCATTTTCTCAAACATCTCGGCTTTCATCTGAGTTGGCAGCAGTTTAGATGGTGGTGCCATTGGGAATTAAAAATGATAGTAGTAGGTGAACAGAGTTTCATGAAGGGGTGAGAATGGAAGCTAAGGGACTGGAGAAATGATGGCCCATGGCTTAATAGAGCACTAACATCAAGCTTCTCACAACTGCCTCTAACTCTGGCTCCAGAGGACCTGACGTCTTCTGGCCACTGTAGGCACTGCATTCATGTGCACAGAGTCACACAGCCACACAATTAGAAATGTTCAAAACACAGAGGAATGGAAGCCAAGCCATAACAACCTATAAATCATATTTTCAGATTTTTAGGATTGGCTTGTCACTGTGTACAGAAAATAAGTGGTAGACATAATTTAGGTTAAATGAGTAAGCCTTTTGTTTTAAATATGTTTATCAGTTATCTTTGTTAACTTTCATTTAGTCATATAGTTAAGATGTTTTACTAAATTGGATCAGAAGTCTTTTCAGAATTCCTACTTATTTTCATTTAAAATAAAAAAATAAGTCAGCTTATTTTTCTATTATACACTTTGAAGTTCTAACCATACTATTCTCTGTAGGACAAATCTCGAAGTCTTGCTGTTCACTCTGTAAAAGCTTTATTAAATATGGATGATGATATCTTAATGGTCAACATGGGCTCATGGTACACCGTCGCCCATATGTCAATCTTAACAAATAATAATACCTCAAAAATATTTGTATGTGGAATACAATCACAAGATAAGGATCCTGAAATGAAGAAACTTTTTACAAAAATGGGATGTCAAAGTATGTGAAAATACTATTTGATGATCATTGTTCTAAAAATTAGAAATATTAAAAGTGTTTGGATTTACTATGTTTTTGTAATATAAACTATATGTGAACTGTTCTATAATCCTCACAAGTCTGCATCAGGCTATCTGTGTTTAATATTGGGCTAATAGTTCTAGGTTAAAGTAAATAATTAGCACCTAGGTATTTTGGGATTGAGCTTGCTTTTCTCTCTGACATAATAACATCTGATTTAAGGCTTATCATTTAATAGATAAGATATTAGCATAGATACTTAATCGACAAAGGGAACACCAGGGAATAGAAATGAAATAGTAAACACAATGGCACACAGCCAGAGAAATAAGAAGTATATAGTTCCAGGCTTGCCTAGGAAAGGGAGCCCGGAATCCTGGGTTGCATTTGGAACACAGAAGTGTACCCTGGTATTGGTCAGTCCCTGGTTTTATCTAGCAAATTGAATCCAGAATGTCTTCCATCTCAATTTCTAACTGAATTAAGGTGACCTTGGATTTATAGTAACCAGTCTTCAGTGGGTCCAATCTACCTGCTAAAAGCAAAAGTAACTTCTCTCTGAAAAAAAAAAAAATCTAAGTTTCAAGTTATCTCCTAAATATTTCTAAATGTAATGTCTAGAGCTCAGTTAAAAATAGACAAAAAGAAGGAAATATGTGACTCAAAAATACTAAACTGAAAAGAAAAGAGACTATATTATTTTAGCCCTAAGCCTGAGAAATGATAGATATGACTCTGAGAGGACACTAGACAGGAATGAGACTCACGGAGAATTCAGACATTGGATCTGTCAGCTGTGGACTTTAACTAGGACTAATGGTTACGAGCTGCTCAGCTATGCTAAGCAACCTGCACAAACCAAGTTAGTAATGTAGGCAGCACAGCATAGCTGCTGAAAGCAAAGACAAAGCATAGTTAGCAGCCAGGCTTACCATCAGTAACTGAAGAGACTAATGGTAAGCTATAAACTTTAAACAATAGTACAAGCCAAAAGAAGATTCTAGAAATACAAAAATGCAGTGTGTGCAATAAAGAAATAAGTAGGTTGAGGGGTCCCAGTAAGGGGAGCATGTGTATAGTGTTTGTGACACACTGGTTTTGATCTCTATTACCACATAAAAGGAAAAAGAAGAGAGAAAAAGAATTGAGAAGAATTTCAGGCTGAGAAGCACAAGCCCCCTACCATATACATGTGGTTACAAATAAAAAAATAAATCTTAAAAAAGAGGGCCAGGGAGGGAGAGGGAACTGGGATTGTCATGTAAAACAATCTTGTTTCTAATTCAAATAAAAAAATCTGCAGGGAAAAAAAACACACTATATTTTCCAATTAACCTTAGTAGTTTGTTGTCTTTCATATTTCATTCTAGAAGTTACAAGGCATTTAATGTTTAGATTTCTGTATTTCTTTACATGCTATATCTTTATTTTCATCTCTAGTTTTATTGACTTTTTAATCTCAAAATTATCTGGAATTAATAAACTGTAACTTAGATAAAAAAGGGGGGGCAGACATACCAGAATATACTGAAGGTGAAAAACAAAGGGGAAAGATGACTTCACAAGAAAAGTTGATAATATGAAAATCCTCAATACTATGCAGTATAAAGATGGATATATAACACCAAGGGGCAGGCAGAGTCTAGACAAGGCCTGCACATACAGCGCTTCTGTTATGATTAAGGCAACACTGCGGAATGCTACAGAATAGATGATCTTGTTGGTAAACTATTCGAGAAAGAAAACTGATACTTCATTTCATGTGTACATCTAGAGTCTCCTAGAAGAGGTTATAGGAAAAGTACTTCATAAAGTGGGGAGTTCAAAGCTGGGCAGTGGTGGCGCACGCCTTTAATTCCAGCTCTCAGGAGGCAGAGGCAGGCATCTCTGTGAGTTCGAGACCAGCCTGGTCTACTGAGTGAGTTCCAGGACAGCCTCCAAAGCCACAGAGAAAACCTGCCTCATAAACACCCCCCCCAAAAAAAACTGGGGAGTTCATTTAAGAGTTCTTCAAAGGAATGCATAAAAGATTCATTAACTGGACATAAGAAAATATTAGAAGTTCTGTGTAGAAATAAAATGATAAGTTGTAGAAAAAGCATATCAATTGATTTTATCAATAATGCACAAAAATTCTTATGAATTAACAATGAAAACCACATGTTTCAGGCTGGCAAGATGGCTCCTTGGGTAAAAACCCTTGCTGTGTAAATCTGATGATTTGAGTTCAATCCCTGGAACCTTATAAAGGTGGAAACAGATAGCCAAAGCCCTTAAATAAGTTGTTTTCTGACCGCCAGGTGTGCATCATGGCACATGCATGCATGCATACACATGTGTACACACACAAAAATGATAATGATAATAAGAATAATGATAATATATACCATGTCTCAGTAGGAAAAGGTACAAGAGACATAATCATATATTGCACAAAATATGCCCAGAGCAAAACCAAAAGAAAAATTAGAAGTTACAAACCCTAATGGTAATCAGGGAATTGTAATTAGAATTACAATGTTGCAACTACACACTTACAGAATGATTAAAATAGAAAAGATTGAAAATACTATGAGAAAAACAAAGCATGAGAAATGTTCCAGCACCACTCATGGGACTGTAAAATTAAGTGACCAGTTTGGAAAAACTAGTTATTTACTAAAGGCCCATATACAGTGGTAGTAGCATCCAGAATTGCAGGTCTGTGTAGTTTACCACCCTGTGATGTGCAACAATATTCATAGAAGCAGTATCTATTTTCTAATGAATACTGGAGGCAGAATAACTCCTAAAAGTAGGTTGTTGAGCTCACAGTCCTGGATGTTCAAGTGCATGATTCCCTCAGCACCTGCTGACCCCATCGAGGCCTCTGTCTAGCATGGCAGATGGCAGAATTGTGGGACCATGTACAAGAAGAGAGCACCAGGTGAGAATAGGAAGCCAGAGACCAGAGAAAGTCGGTCATGCTGTCTTAAAATAGTCTACTCTCATGGGGACTAACTCACTCAATAAGACCCTCATTAGTTCCTTCTGGGGGCAGCATCCAAAAATCATCTGATTACCTGCCTCATCTCCTGGAGGTTCCATTTTTTCCCTTAAATATTGCCACATTGAGAACCAAGCTTCTAACACACAAACTGGTTGGTGACAGACTACAACTAGACTATAACATGTTACTTTCCATAGCCTCAAAATAGAAATAACTTCAGTATCCATAATATGGAATTTTACACAGAATATTATTACCATACCTAACAACATGAATGACTCTTACCAATATAATATTCATCTTCTAACTAATATGGAATAGATACTAATTTTTAAGACAAGTAGTGCTAGTGAGATTTAGAGGAGCAATATTAGTAATAGGAATTATATACAAAACTTTTAATGATTTATTCAACAAATATTTATTGATATATGTTATGTATCTGCCTATCACTGTCTTAGAGGTCATGACATTAATTTTGTTCTGCTTTGTGAATATAGCAGTGAAACAACGTTTCACTCATGAAACTTACATTACAGTATGAGAAGGATAAATGCTCAAAAGGTACACACGCATGTGCGTGCGCGTGCGCATGCGCGTGCGCACACGAGCACACACACACACACACACACACACACACACACACACACACACACACACACACACACAAATCAGGCAGTTCTTAAACCTTTGACCTTCCTGTCTCATACTACCAAATGCCAGTATTACAGGCTGTTTTAGTTTGATTTCTGTTGCTGTGATAAAACACTCTGACAAAAAGCAATTTGGGGAGGAAAGGGTTTATTTAGCTTACACTTCTAGGTCATCCATCCTTGAGGAAAGCCAGGACAGAAACTCAAGGCAGAAATCTGGAGGTAGGAACCATAGAGGAAGGCTGTTTACTGGTTCATGCTCAGCTAGGTTTCTTATACAGCCCAGGTCCACTTGTCTAGGGATGGTACCACCTACAGTGGTCTGGGCCTTCTTGCGTCAATCAAGAAGATGCCCCAAAGACATACAGTCCAATCTACTTGAGGCCTTCTTTAACTGATAGTCCCCCTTCCTGGGTGACTCTAGGTTGTGCCAAGTTGACAATAAAAACTAACAACCCTCCCCCATACACACACCCCTCATAGAGCAGTCAGGATAAATAAACAATATTTACAAATAAATGTTTGATAAAAGGGATTTGTGGCTGGAGAGTTGGCTCAGTGGTAAAAGCACTTGTTGCTTTTACAGAAGACCCAGGTTTGATATCTGGCACTCACACGGTGGGTTTTCAACCATCTGTAACTCCAGTTTGAGGAGATCAAACACCCTCTTCTGACCACTGTGGGAACCAGGCATGTATGTGGTGTACATATGTACATGGAGATAAAACACTCATATGCATAAATCTATTTTTTAATAAAAAAGGGGGCAAGAGAATTGGCTTTGTGGTTAAGAACATGTACTGCACTTGCCAAAGACATGAGCAATGCTGACCACCCAAGTTGGACTACTTACACCAGCCTATAATCTCAGCCACACACATGACATATCTGCACACATCCACATAGTCAAAACTCAATCTTAAAAAAGAAAGAAAATCACTTGATTACTTTTGGGGTGTTAATAGGCTATTAGAGAAGAACAAGTTCTGTTTCCTTTCTTCCTTCCTTTCTTGCTTGCTTTTTTGATACAGTTTCTCTGCAACTTTGGAGCCTGTCCTGGAACTCACTTTGTAGACCAGGTTGGTTTCGAACTCACAAGAGATCCACCTGCGTCTGTCTCCAAGTGCTGGAATTAAAGGCCTGGGCCACCACCACTCTGCCAACAGTTTCCTCTTCTAGTTACATTGTGTTTAGTTTTTGTGGGGCTGAGGATTTGGAAATGAATAGTAAAAGGGCTACAGTCACATGCTGCATTCAGTTTTTAATGTTTAACAGGTTTTGTTGCTACTTTTCCTTCCCAGATATTGAGATTCTTCAGGAGACATTTGTCAGCTTGGAATCAAAGGACCATAGGTTACAGAACGTCAAGGTCATTCTGCTGCTGCCTCGCTGCTCAGCACTAGGTGTTAGTAACCCAGTGGAATTTATCTTAAATGAAAATGAAGGTTGGTGTTCTGACTTCCAAATTAATGAAACTACAACTCATCGATTTCAACATCAGAGAACATATCTTAGTTTTTACTTTTTGTATTGCTCTTCAAATTAGTTGTATTTAGTGTGTAAATGACTTATGTATAGCTCTTTGAATGACTATTTCATAGAAACTTGGAGAAAGCTAATATTAGGTGTTTTTCTATATTCCTTTTGAAAAGCAGTAATAAAACTAGACATCATTACCTTTATTGATATTTCAATTTCAAGTCAATATTTTAATATTATCAATTACATTAGTAGGAATTTTCTGTGAAAATTCATTTTAGACAATTGATTGAAAAATAATGTGACAACAGCAATATATAAAAGGTATCTATAGTGCTGTATTTAAAAGTATATATTTACTTTTCAAAATTTAGATACAAGTTTACTTCAAGATCTTTCTCAAGGTGGTCCATCAAAAAGTAAACTTGAGATTCTTGCTCAGCAGCAATATGAACAGCTAACACATGCAATGAAATGTAAGTTCACCATTAGTACTGGTTTATTAAAGTACAGTGTTAATCTCTGAGTCATGCATACATCATTTATCTATTAGAATATAGCAATAATATATGGACCACAAGCAAAATTTCAACCTTAGTGTCTTCAAATAAAATGCTCACTTTAATAAATTTAGTAAGTTTTAAAAAATATATGGTTTACTATCATCTTCTTGTCTGGCCTCCTCTCCTACTCTGTGCTCACTGGAACAAAAATGAACAAGAGGTTCCCATATTGTAGCTTCTCAGGGTTCTAAGGTGGAAAATGGAAGTTCTGCAGCTCTTCCCCCCCCCCACCTCCCACTGCACTGTCATTTCAGTTAACGACAGTATCAGTAGACTGCCAAGAAATTTGTAATTCTATATATATATTGGGAAGTAGCTGCCTCCACTGTCTTCACTATGTCCACATGAACACCTTACACTACGATAACCAGATGGCCTTAATTTGTCTTCCTAATTCCACCACTGTCCTCTACAGTCTCAACACAGGTGGAATGAAATTGTTAAGTCAATGGATTTCAAGCAGTGCAAAAACCACAGTCCATGTAGTGGTCTAAAACTCTCTATACAGTGAGTGCTCTTAAATGCTGAGCCATCTCTCCATCTCCAGACTACATTTTCTAGCTTCATCACCTACTCCTCTCTCCTCATTCCCTGTAACCTTTTTGTTTTTCATTGATGATCTCAAAGTTCAAGTGCTCAATCAATATGAATGAGTGAGTGAGTTACAGGTCAGTAATTCACTTGTTGTATGGTGAGATCTGAGACATAGCAGCAAGAAACAGAATCACAATTCCCATCAATGTCTGTCTGTATCTAGAGGCCCTTAAAGTAATTAGATATGATAATGGGCTGTGTTTATTTCTTTGTGTGTGGAACTAGGTTGATCACAGTAGACATGTTCTCATTTCTTTGTACAGTCAAGCTGAACGTACTTACTGGTCACTGCTTACAGGACTAATACAAGTTCTGTTGTAAAGGAGAGCCATTCAAGGGGGGCAGTGAGGGGTCTCAGTAGGTAAGGGCACTTGCCTCTGAGCCTGACAAATTGGGTCTGATGTCTGGTCCTCCCATGGGGGAAGGAGAGAATCAGTTTCTATAGTTGTCCTCTGACCGCCACATGCATGCCTTGTTGTGCTTGTGTGGATGCACACACATATACACACACACATACACACACATATAATTTATAAATTATAAGATATAAATTGAAAAATAAAGGGGAGATATTCAAGCACCGAAGGGATAATTTCCATCCATATCTGGTGGTATGCCCTAGTAAAAAATGTGTCTGGAAACAGCAAATTTGCATTGGGTCACCATATTGATTCTATCTTCTTTCAATACAGTTGCTAAAGCTCAGGCAATTGTTTACTGCACGTGTTCTGTTTATGCAGAAGAAAATGAAAATGTTGTTATGAAAGCACTGGAATCTCAAACCCAAGGGATTAAAATACAACCTTACAGGTAAGGAAAGAACACTAAACCACTATCAAGCGAAGACTTGGAAACCACATGTATGATTTTTAGAGTTAAATAAATATATTGTACTTTTCATTAGAATTAATATGATAAAACAGCCTAAATACATACATCTCTTAAGTGGATTCTATAGAGCTTTTGAATGAATACTTTAATAGTTTCATATGTATTTTGTGTATGTAGTGTGTGTGTGTGTGTGTGTGTGTGTGTGTGTGTGTGTACAAGCAGGTGTTGACAGGTGACTTGAAGGAGTCACTTCTCTCGCCACCATGTGGGTCTCAGGAATCAAACTCAGGTCACTAGGCTTGGCAGCCAGCACTTTTACCCACCAAGCTATAACACTAGTTCATGAATGTTGCATTGCTTTTGTTATTGTAAAGCTAAAGGCATTTGATTTTGACTTGGCTGATTCCTGAATAAACTGGGTGCAAAGTCTTTCTTAGATATATGTATTATTCCACAGAGGAAAAATAAATATACAAATTATTTATTGAAAGTAGATAGGCCAGGCATTGGTGGTGCATGCCTTTAATCCCAGTACTCAGGAGGCAGAGGCAGGTGGATCTCTGTGAGTTGGAGGCCAGCCTGGTCTATAGAACGAGTGCCAGGATAAAGCTGCACAGAGAAACCCTATCTCGAAAAACAAACAAAACAAAACAAACAACAAAAAACAACAAAAAAGAGAAAGTAGACAGAAAACTGGATGTTTATTATTTTAAGCACTTTTGGTATTTTGTACCCACTGGGAAACTGGTATAATTGATGTGGATATTAATGGCAGCTCCCAGATAAAATACAGCAGTAGAGTTGGGATAGAGAGAGAGCATTAATACTAAAACCTGAGCTTCGATGGTTCACATCTTAGTCTCCTGCCCTTGTAAGGCTGAGGCAGGAGGGTTGCCACAAGTCTGAAGACAGCCTGGACTACATAAACCTATCTCAAAGCACCAATACTATAGGTCTGGGGATGTAACTCAGTGGTAGAGGGCTTGGGGTTCTTGGTTTAATCTCCAGTACTGCCCAAACACTAAATAATAAACACTAAATAATACAAAATACACACACCATACACTGTGGATATCAATAACTCTAAGAATAAAAATTTCAAAACTAATTAGTTTTCAAGACTATGGCAATGAAATAAACATCTATCTTCATGTTGTGATTTCTCCTTCAGAATCTTAATGTGTATGCAGTCTGCTCTGACCTCCTAATTTGATATTTTCCCATTTTTCATTTCACAGGCTGACTAGTTAATCACACCAACATTTCCTCTCTTGCTGACTTTCCTTTCTTATTTAGAAGCTTCTGTTGATAGCTGTCCTAGGTAGAGTTTCTGTTGTTATGAAGAAACACCATGACCAAAAACAAGTTGGGGAGGAAAGGGTTCAGCTGACTTACACTTCCACATTATTGTCCATCATTGAAGGAAGTCAGGGCTGGAACCAGGAGGCAGGAGCTGATGCACAGGCCATGGAGGGCTGCTGCTTACTTGCTTGCTCATCATGGCTTGCTCAGCTTGCTTTCTTACAGAACCTAAGTGTTGTGATATATCTTTTATACCCAAGACCACCAGCCTAGGGATAGCACCACCCACAGTGGGCTGGGCCATTCCCCACCAATCACTAATTAAGAAACTGCCCTACAGTTGGATCTTTTTTTAAAAATCTGTATAATTAGTATATAGTTTTATTTTCTTCATGTCAAATTTAAAATTGCTTTCAAAGAGTGAGTTTTACTGTCACACCTTAGAACTAGTGGCTTCTTCTTACTTACAGAGTAGAAATTTGTTCATAGTTAATAGAAATACAGACTAAAAAGCTGTTGATAGAAATTTGAACCCCAGGGATGTGTCACTCCATAGACAAAGACTTGAGGAGATTTAGAATTCTGATTAGGTATGCTGGACTGGAGCAGTATATATTTCTTGCAAACCTGATATCCACTCCTTCCAGGAAATGTGGTCTTTGGTGAACACATCATGGCCAGCCTTGGAATACAGTTGGATCTTACGGAGGCATTTTCTTTCTCATTTGAAGTTCCCTCCTTTCAGATGATTCTAGCTCATGTCAAGTTGACATAAAAGTAGACATCACAATTGACCCCCTTGCCAACCTGACACATAGACACATCACTATTAAGCCATAACCTTTCCTTTCTTATTTCTTCCTGAGATCATTTGTGAATAGCAACATAACAATATAAACATTGCAAATTTTAAAAGTTCCACAGTTATTACAAATAACCTAAAAGGTCAGTCTCTTTAAAATATTCAGAATATTTAAAATATTCAACCTCTTTCCAAATCCGAAGTCTTCATAAAATTCCAAAATTTCTTTAAAACTTCAAGTCACTCAACTGTTGGCTCCTATAAAATCAAAATTAAATAATTCCTCAACTAAAGAGGGAATAACCAGGGTACCATCTGAAGAAAACAAAACCAAGCTCTAAGACTATAAACAAGTCAATGTCCAATACTTTAGGATTCACTTACATCTTCCGGGCTCTTCCCAAGGGGCTTGGGTCTCTTCTCTGGCTCAGCCCTCTGCCGCACACACAGCTTGTCTTCTAAACTCCACTGCTGCTACTTTCAAGACCATTGTCCCATGGTACTGGCATCTCCAAAATGTTGGGGGTCTTCTGTTGCAACTGGGCTGCACTCTCCTCATGGCTCCAAGCCTCATCCTCTCTATGTGACCCCTTCAATCTGGGCTTTCAACTGCTACTTAGGGTGCACCTTCACCAACAGCTTCTCCTGGCCTGTCACAGTGCCAATCCTCAGCTGCTCTCCATGACCCCTTTGTGCCTTTAAAACTAGCACCACCTGGGTGACTGTTACACCACCAAGTAAGTTCAGCTGCCAGAGTGAGGTAAAGCTTGGGCTGCCTCTGGAACACAGTTTCTGTGTGCTGACTCTCAGGAAACACTTCCAGAAGATTTCACCTTAGTGATGCTGGTCTCTGCTTAATCACTTCTGTTTTCTGGCTCTGGCTAGCCAGCATCAATTGTCCCAGTAAAGCAAAGGTTTCATATTAGTGGCACTGGTTTCTTGTTAACCACAGCTGACTCTTCAGCCCCATATGACCAGAGCCACGGAATTTTAATTCAAAATAGTAAATATGCAAGTGTCCCGAGAATCTTAAGTAACTCTCAAACTTCCCCCTGGAAGGTCACAAACCAGGCCTTCATTGTCTGCATTTCTCTCAGTACTCGTTTTCTTTGAGGCTTCCACAGAACAGCTCATCAAAGCTTTGAACACTTGGTGGATTTTCCAGTTCAAAGTTCCAAAGGCACTCTACAATCCTCCCCAAAACACACAGGCAGGTCTATTGAAGCAATATCCCATTATCTTGGTATCAATTTCCATCCTAGTTAGGGTTTCTATAGCTGTGCTGAAAACACCATGACCAGAAACAATTTGGAGAGGAAAGCCACATCATAGTACTTCATTGAAGGAAGTCAGGACAGGAACTCAAACAGGGCAGGGACCAGGAGGCAGGAGCTGATGCAGGTCACGGAGGGATGCTGCTTTCTGGATTACTTCCCATAGCTTGCTCAGCCTGCTTTCTTATAGAACACAGGACCACTAGCCCAAGGATGGCACCACCCACAATGGGCTGGACCCTCCTCCTTCAATCATGATTAAGAAAATGCCTTACAGTTGGATCTTATGGAAGCATTTTTTCTCAATTGAAGTTCCCTTTCAGATAACTCTAGTTTGTATCAAGTTGACATAAAACTAGCCGGCACAGTAGTTGGCAGTCAGTCACATGTCCTGAGAGTCCTGAGTGTCAAGTAGCTAAATTGCCATCTATTGACAAAGAACTGCTGTTGTGGCAGGGGCATAACCAAACCAGTGATCACATAAGTATGGTTCCTGATTTATTAAAGAGTTTTGAGAATATAATATGGCAAAAGTAAGGTGCTATTTGCTTTATGTTCCTGTAAGCTATTGTTAATTTATAATATAGTATAAAAAGATACAACTTACATTTAAAGACAGAGACAGTAATTCACATTCTAGATTGGTCTGAGATTTAAGCTCTAGTTGGAAAGCATGTATTGAAGAAGCTTGTAACTACTTGTGGATGCAGTCAAAAGTAACTATGCTTTGACTTGGGAAGATATACTACACGGTCTATAGTAATCTATTTATATTTATTTATTTATTTATTTATTTATTTATTTATTTATTTTAAGATTTTATTTATTTATTATGTCTTCTGCCTGCATGCCAGCAGAGGGCACCAGATCTCATTCAAGGTGGTTGTGAGCCACCATGTGGTTGCTGGGAATTGAACTCAGGACCTCTGGAAGAACAGTCAGTGCTCTTAACTGCTGAGCCATCTCTCCAGCCCCTAATCATTAATTTTTTAAAATAACATTTATTTACTGTGTGTGTGTGTGTGTGTGTGTGTGTGTGTGTGTGTGTGTTGTATACATGTGCCACAGTGTGCATGTGGAGGTCAAAAGACAACTTGTAGGAGATAGTTCTCTCCTTCTACCATGTGGGTCCTGGGTATCAAACTCAGGTCATTAGGTTATTAGGCTTGGTGGCAGGCACCCTTAACCACTGAGCCATTTAACTAGCCTAAGAATCATTTCTTAATACCCCAATGTATGGTGATATATTATTTATTTATGATTTATTAAAGCTTGCCTGAGGATTCAGAAAGCAAAGATAGCCTCAAGCTATAGAGACCAGGCCATGGCAATACACACCTTTAATCCTAGAACTCAGGACTAAGAGATAGACGGATCTCTGTGAGTTCAAGGCCACTCAGATCTATACAAGATTGATCCAGTCCTAAAGAGAAACAGCTCACACAAAGATGATCTCAGCACTGGCATCACAAGCCCTTAATCCCAACACTAGAGGGGTATAAAAGATAGGAGCAGAGTCTTCAGTAGTCAGTACCAGACATTCATTCTCCAGCATCACTGAGGATAGGAAGGCAATAAAGTCTCAGGATTCTCCAGCCATG